TTTGTCACAGTTTTGTCATATGCACCACTGATGAGCCCTACTGAAGGTGGAACTCTGACCAGGCGCTCAAGTGCAAACTGAGGACTGGGAACGACTGTTGGAAACGGGAACGGCATAAACGTTCATACCCACAAAACAATGTAAACAAAAACGATAAATTCACAGCAGTTTAAAATTGCTCGTGACAGTACCTGATTGAGGAGTGCAGTCAAACGAGTGAACGATCGTTACAATCAAGATTGTTACTGGGTCACCGTTCGAGAATTTGGGAGACCCAATCACACTGGTCTAGCATGAATGTGGTCAACGATTTCCGCGTGGCAATATGGAAGCGCTCAGATTTCGCTGATGAAGTAGTGAAAGAACACCGGTTTGGCACAGCCAACAGTGTGCACTACCGTTGAGCCATAATTAGAGAGGAACGCGAGTCCCAAGATTTAATTTCAAAAAGAGAGGATGAGAACTTTTCAAACGAGGTGACTGTTTGCACACTATCAGTCAGGGCTTTTACATGATATTTTTGTGTTTTCATATATGCATAACAAACAACAACACACATGGCAAATGCTACTCAAAGATAATCCATAGAAAATCTTAGAAATTTTGTATCAGCTTTGACCTTAGAAGCAGAATCTGTCCTCGGGTAGACTGGAAACAGCATACAAGAAGCATGACTTTGGGTCGTTAACATTTGCTGTGACNCATTTGGAAATTTTTTTATTTCCTTGTGGCAGATCTATTTTGCCAGATCACACTAACACTTATCATGACGTCATTTATGATGACGTTGGTCTATTTGATTTGCACCCCTGAAAGTCACCGTCTCCATGTAGAAAGTACATTTACGCTGCACATTTTGGGCGCATTTGCAGCATAACTGAACGCTTTTTTGGCTTCCTTCCTTTTAGACGACATTTTTGTGCCAACCCTTAGGCTTGATTGATTGAACACTGGGTGGAAAATATTTTTCTGCCTATCAAAAAGCTCTAAATGAGACGCCCTTCTGATGCGATTCAATCGAGTGCATCGTAAGTGACAACACGTTCTGCTTCTTGAACGTTAGATAAGTGAAATCAACCCGACCGCAGTAATAAGGTTTAGGTGGGAGCCAAAAATCGTCCAGTGTTTTGGGCCCCTGAGGCAGAAAAAACATGAATTACTTTTTATAGCGGCAAATGTGATGAATGTGCCAAGTAAATAAGCTAGGCCAACAATTGTTTACTTGCTTATGGCGAACTGTTGTCTGGGGGATTTATAGTCAGGACGTTGGCTGAACGTTCTGTCCAGCCGCTTGTCGCGACTGACAAACGTAGGTCCATCTGCGGTGGTGTGCTTTATAGACGATTTCGAATGATGCAGTCAGTCAGTGCTTATTTCAGTCATTAATCTGCATGTTTCTGGCAGCCGGCATGCGTTAGTTATTCAACTACTTATGCATTCGCTCAGGTTTGATCCCAAAAAAGTCACCACTCATCACTCAGAATATGGTTATGTTTGTAAGTAGCCGGCTGTTAGCGGCCGACTTGCAGACCAACCAGCAAGAAACAGCAATAATGTGCGGTTTGGTGTCACCTGAGAAATAATTGTCGAGCCTTTTACCCAAGTTAACAGCAAACGTGCATACTACTAATCCACGCATCTGAGCCACCCGTATTTTATTATATCGGGAAATGATTTTGTTTTCCGTTGCTTGTTCATGTCTAGCAAAAAATGGGTACGGCAAAATAATAAAGAATTGCGTGGGTTCCTCTCCAACCAGAATGTGGCCAGATCTGACGGGTGAGGCAGAACCCCGTTTGAATCTCCCGTCACCCGCGCGGGTCACGTGACTAACCCAAAAGTGTGTTCATTTTTATTACTAAATAGATAATGAGCCACTGCATAAATTCGATGGTATTGCTTGGCACACCTAAATGTTTTTTTCATGGTACAAGATTTAGCTATAAAATATTTAACCAAATTTCAAAATTATCTGAATCCGGTTACGCCGAAGTAATCATTGCAAAGATGAAAAAAAAATTGAGTAAGCCGCCGGGGAATTCATTGACCCTCGATCATTTAGAATTTCTTTCTAGATATGCAGAGGGTATCATGCCAGTGGTAAAAGAAAGATTCCTTCTTAAACTTGTTTACATGAATACCCACTTTGGCAACTGATTGTCTGGTGGGACTTAAGCCATTCACTTTTACTTCATTTTATACGTAGCCCATCGAAGTGGTCAAAAACCTAACACAACTATAACGCTAATAAATCATGTACTTCAGAACTGATCAACATCAGTAAACGCAGAAGCGTAGGTGTATAAAGCAACAATACAAAATATCTGGCGAATTTAAACTTCAGGCGTTTGAGAGTTAGTTACCGTGGTGAGAAAACCGTTCTCCGAATAACATCAGAAGTAAAGATCGGAAATACTGTAAACCAAAAACGTAGTTGAACCATTTTGAAGAACAAAATACTGACGCCAGTCAAACAAAGTTTACATTTTTGCGGCAATATTTTCATTGGATAGCTGGAGTTGCTTACCCCTAAATCCTGTTATTCAACAAATCAGTGACATGCAGAATTTATGTTATGAAATTAAAGTGATTACACGTTTTGAATGCCCAAGCGGAGTATTTTTTCACTTTTAATTTTAAAAACATTCATCCTCTGGATGTTATGTCACATTTGGGCATAGGTTCTTCTCCAACGGATTTTAGCGTGCGTGTTCAGTTGCTCGCGTGTAAGATCTCCAGGGATGAGTAAGATGTTAAACAGCCAAAAATATCCTAGTTAATCCTGAGAACCCTATCTTACCATAACGCGAGTCTGGCCTTAATTACTTGGAGGCAACGGCAGTTATAGTGTCCCTTGGTCGACCGTTTAAATCATAAGATGACATTGACACACAGGTACAATCTTACCAGGATACGATCATTTGTGTGCTCCAGTGATCCATTGACCCGTGCTTTTGGACGCTTGTGGGTCATCCGTCATTTATCATGCAAAGACGGTCAATAGTATGAGGTCAAACCAACACCATGTTCTGGCAATGACAAAAATACTTTAAGAAAGGCACTGGCATTTGTCCTGAAACACTGCTGACGTGCAGTCAGACGTTAGTGCCACGGGCTTTAGTTTGTCCTTCTTTTCAGGTCAAGTCACTCCAGAAAATAGCAGATCACCTGTAATTATTAGAATAAAGGTTACAGTCACTAAACGAAAAATTGGCCGTCATTTGGTTTCATTAAATACCTCGCTTTACAAGCTGCATATAACAGGGACTGTACGCTGACATCTCTCTTTTTCCATTCAAATACGATTACATTCTCCACCCATATAATTTTATCTTCGCATACTAACGCGGCAGGACAGCCACTCCGTTAATCTCGTTACGATTAGGCTGCAAAATCTGCGCTGTTGCCAAAAGTTCTAAGACTTTCAAGGTACACCTGTAAGCCACTGCGATTTAAATGTTTTCAATGTAACTGAAGCCGGAGTCAAGTTCAAATCTAACGAGCCTCAATTTGCGAAATGATTGGGAACTTAATGAGATATCTTTTCAATCATGGAACATAAATCCGTTAAGACGAATACAAAAATGTGTTGGTCATACTAATATAATATACCCTGTTTAATAACCCATCCCAATCTGTTCTAGGAACAGAAAGTGAAATGTTGAGGTGGTTTTGTCGAGTTGAGGTTATTGAGATCACGTTGAGTGTGGAAGTTTGTGCAATTCCAATGCACTCGCTTCCCCATCGCACTAAAAACCCACTCCACAGGTGATGGAAATTTTTGCATCCTATTTGCATCAAATGCTTTCAAGGGCCACCAGTACAGCCCAATTCACAAATAGTCTTCGCGGCTACAAAAGTCCCCGTTTGATTATGCACAGATGAACAAAAAATTGAAGCGCAAGATTCTACGGCAGGTTCCTGAGGATTGATTAACGGTAGATTCAATAAATGCTCAATATTCCAGAATCTGTGTCACCAGCCACCAAATGTTAATTTCACTTGGAGAATAGCACCCACCTGCTTGTCGTCCAGTGACATCTGAGCAGTGAGTTGCAAATAGAGCTGAATGATGTTCGCAAATTAGCGACGTGCGACGCCTTCAGTTAACCAATAAAATAGGTGAATAACTAAATTGCAACAAAATGAATAACGACGATGTGACCTTCCTTCCAAGCAGGCGTCCATCAGTATCATTTCTCCTAATTTTACATAAACTAGCACAAACGAGCATTAGAAAATTGTCAGTACGTTCTCTGCCAAAAAGGAATTAGTTGTTGCCATCTCACTATCCAAACTGGAGAGGAGACACCGTCGAAACTTGTTCTCACGCATGCATTACCGGTTTCACAACACACATATAAATAACGTCGGCTCTGAGGGAAATATTACCGAGTATGGTTAATTTCTTTCAATGTGTCGGGCGTGAACGCCATTATTTGGCACTTCACCCACGAATTCAGTTGCAAACCGTAAATTGATATGAGGGCATGTGGATCTTTTGTTTGGTTCAATCGATTTCGAGGAGGAAAACATGGGAAACCAACAAACGCGCTTCAGCACTACCGCGATTTATCTGGAACATGCAGCTAACCGATTATTGAAGCTTGTGGAAAACTTCTCCGGGCCCATTAGGACGCTGATGTAAGCGCACTTCATGGTGCGCTTTTTTTATACACCAAGCCACTGAAACATGATTATAGCAGGAATTGACAATGATTGCCGCATGACACCGCATCGCCATTTGGGTTGCTCTCTCAAGCTTTTCGTTATTCACAAATACATGCAAATTTTTTTCATGATTTCATCACCTGAGGGGAGTGTGATAGATTGGTTACGACCCTCAGAATGTAAAGCCCAAAGGCGCTGGCGGTATTCCACTGTGCTCCGTTTTGCCATTTTGCCTAAAAGTCATCCCAACCGACTCGCTTGGGTTTTACGACCATGAATCTACCAATGAACACGCTGAAATTAACATTATTTTATCCATTTCTATTTAGGGACTTACTCAAACGCAAAACCTCAAGAAGAAGTTATCGGTTTAAATCTAACAAACATAGTCATCACAGATATCAATATAACATCAAAATTTGTCAACTTTGTTTGCAAAGAAAACATGCGTAAGTGTAAAAGATAAAGATGCTCAGAGTTTTTTGAGGTTTTTTTTAAAAAATGTGCACTTTCCAGTTTTTGTAGACCAGCCATCTTTATCTTCTATAAAAAGTTAATTGTTTGCGTACAGGGCCAAATAACATCTGAGCTTTAGTCTTGGTTTTGAGTTTAAGCGAATGGAAATCTACACACTCAGGGGGAATGTGTTACCAAAATGGCCTTGTTGAAAAATGGAGATGCGATACTCCACGATATGATGGAGGAGCATATGCTGGTTTTAAACCTTGGCACTAAAGAAATCTAAAGTTCATATACTTTGGATGACGTAGTGCAGCTATTTTTCATAAAATCTGGTAAGTTACGGAGATATTTGACTAATCGGATCTTTCGCATTAACTGAGTAACCATTCCGTGTGTCAAGGTTGGTCTGGTAATATACAGGGCACAATGACAGTAAAAATTTATCTTGTCGGCCGGCAGGTTAAACACGTAAGCTTTCTTATTGTTTTCCTCATTTCTGTTGGCTCAAATAACAAAATGAAAACAAGTGTACATACGCAACACAACTGCTCTCTTCAACTTATCTCAGCAAAATACTATACACCAGGCCATAAAGTCTCTCCCACTTCATCCTCCACTGCACAAAACCTTTCCAAAATCCGGGAATCTGAACGGTGCTGGCCTCTAAAAAATATCACGAATTTTTATACACGTTTGTGTATTTCCAGAATTTCCAGGAAGCATGTGCGCCGATGACCCCTCTTTGCCCGTGGTCAGAGCCTACAGCCTTACCGAAACGATTGCTTCCAACCAATTGGAATCAGATGGAATAAGAATCGGTAGTGTTGTAAACGGCCTGCTTTTATGAAAGTCGTTCATTAGTTTTAATTGCAACCATTTGTCAAATACTGTATTGTCAAAATATCTTTAAAGTGTTTCCAAAAACGACTCCTAGGAACTTGGATGTTTGTTTTGCACCAATAAGTCAATTTAGCAAGTGCAGACATGGTTCGCATTCCGGTATGTGAAGGCCAATGGCACTTCATCGTGGTTAACTCGAGTTAAGGGCGTTGCTAGTCGCCCATGGCTGTATGATGTGGTCTGGATCTTTTAGCCAGGGAGCTTAGAATATAAATCCCCCTGGAACACACGCGACACGCAAAAGTGATGGCAACGAACAAGTAGTAAACAGCATGGCAGTGCGCATGGACGTCCTGGGATAAACGAATTTTCAAGAATAAATTTCTGTTCCAATCTCTAAATCACTCCATTTTTACCGCTGCCTTCCTTACACGCACTGAAAATGCACTGTTGCCCATTAATTGACATAACTACCAATGAAAAATGCAATATCCTTCGCAGGGGCACGTTATAAAATGCTTCGATTTTGCTCTCGATAATGCAAAAACCAGCTCATTGGCGGCCTAACAAAATGCGGCTGAAAGCACTTCATTTTCACCTAAAATAGCAAAGTGGGTCAGTTGAACTCGCAAACCATGTAATGTAGGCTAACATCATGGCTCAGTACAATTTTTGCCCTTGTCGGAAATTTTAAACCTGATCTTCTAACACAGTACCTTCTTTTACGAAATTGGTGTCCGGAATAACGATTCCTAGCTAGGACACATGACAAGCACTTGTAAAGCCGCTTTAAATGCACTGCGAGAGGTGTGACAAATATTCTCACCCACCTCAAGTGGTACTCGGTTATATACCGCAATACAAAAATGGTGTCAGCAGTTGAAACGTACTTCAGATTCGTGTCTTATTCAAAAACTGGCTTATATATATGATTCTGATTTCGATTTCTACGTTTTTTCCATCGCCCTTCTATGCCCGCGTGATGCAGCCAACATGAAAAACGTCAGAAGCACGCTTTGCACTTTTGCGTACCCTTAAATTTCGCAAACAACTACATTCCACTTTCGAGAAATACACCCGTTTGCAAATTAATTTGATTTCCTGAGAGACTCACACACACACGCGCACACAGGCTGCGTCATGTTTTAGTTGGCACGATATTCGAAATATCAGTGGAATTTTGATTAAAGTAGAACATAATTTTGACGGAAACCCGGAGACCATGCATACATGATGAGCCTCAAAAGGGTGAAACCGGTCGTGGGCCGTCGAATAGTTTTCAACAACCCGGTGAGCAGTTTCCTTCATGAAAATATACTGCGATATCCCGAATATCGTGCCGAATGAAACGTGAGGCGGCCTGTGGGCAACGCATTCAGTTGCAGAATAGCGTAAAAGACAGATTCATTTAGTCTCTCGTGGAAACCAAATTGATTTGTAAATGATTGTATTCCTTGTAAACAGCCCAATTTGGGTTCAAATAGAACGTATATTAGACGGAAACTCAGGGACTGCGCCCATCAGATGAGCTCAAAGTGGAAGATCAAAACCGATCCTGGGCTGTTGAAGGGCTTTTAGCACATTGTGAGCAGTTTTCTTTATGAAAACATTCTACTTTCTTTGTGCTTGCTATGTTCCGTTGATTACCTATAGAATTTACCATTTCTACCTTCAATTCTTTCCATAATTCTTTTCGATAATTTTAAAAAGGGCACCATTTCAAAATGAAATTGTGAATGTATCTTCATACAATACGAGAAACGCAAACTTAACTTTAAACGACCTGCGGGGGTGGTTCTTATCCTGAGTAAGTGATAGACACTACTAACTATTTCCTGTAGGACTTTTATTAAAGTAATTTCTATGAGGTCCATTCGTATCTGACGATATTCGTATCTGATGTGGTGTACGGAGTTTCAGGAGCAAATGCTAGGTTTTTTCAAAACACCGTTGAGAAAACAAACAATGAAATCCTGTTTTATGATTAGTAATCACTCCTACGTACTATACTAATTTCTCCGTCTGTTAACATTCCTTTGTGAGTCCTACTGAATCCAGTCCGATGCCCGGGTAGCCTGGTTACAGCGCTGTTTAATCGTTGTAGCAATTTTGCGGAATAAGGACAATTTTCAGAGAGGGAAATCGGAAAATTGTGGCCTAACATAAGAAGCAAAACGACAAATGTATGAATATGAATCGAGCACCACGATCTTCCAAATTTTAAAGCGTCATATTCAGGAAGGTTTTTCCCAAAGGACTTGTTTTTATTGTTTTGGATTCTTTGATTCCCTCGATAGATTTATAAGCCTACAAGATCGGAACACCTGCCAGCATTCAAAGCGCACGTTAAGGCCAATGTAGTCATCCTGTACCCACAATTAATTGTCTGAGTTACTTTTTCGGAGAAAAAGTCTACCTTCACCTGAGACTCACATTTTACCTACCTTCTTTAAAACACTCACGTTAATGTTGCACCATAAGTTTTTGGTTATTGCAAATTAACTTTATTTGAATTGTGCTTTTTTTCAAACATTCCCTGTTTAGAAGCACAAGGTAAAAACATAATTTCACTCGGTTTTTTAAATTTTACCGTATTTACCGATAGCAAGATTATGTCTCTGTAAATTGCATGTCCATTGTCCTCTAAATGGAGGAGATTTTATACCGGTTGTAACAAACAAGGAATCATTCTTTAGATTTGTGCGGTACAAACTGCCAATAACACAGATGGGGAAGCGACCTCACTGAATGCCTCAAACTTTCGCCACGAATGATCCCTAGCTTAAGAACAATTTATAAAATCAATTATTATCTTTCATCTGGCAGGTCTCTTTCAGCATAAAAGTCGCTAATCGACCCCAGAAGCCAGAATAATTTAGGACTAAAATATACTCAACTAGGAAGTGCAAAACTCAATTCCTAATAGTGGAGTCATTTTCAAAGGTGATAGTTTAGAAATCAAAAGCGCTGGTTGTAACAGCTCATTAGCAATTTCCGAAAGATATAATTCTGGGGCGCGTTTCAGGCAATAGACCAATCAGCTTTCATTATCCTACTATCATTCATGTGCTATTCACATATTATCGCATAACCTACAGATCTAAAACGCTTTCAAACCAATATTTTTAGTCAAATATGAACAATCCTGGGGTTTGGTAATATATTCTATCATCAGAATGCTCATGTAAGACCAGAACGTCAGTCGTTCGAACGGAGAACGTCCCCGCTGGTTTGTATTATCCGTTTGAGCAAAATTTATTAAACTGCCATTCAAACAGCCGACTTCTTTACACAACAGTCGTCCGCAATACCAACGTTTCGCGACTCATTTCAGGATAGAATCCGCTTTCAAATAAGAGCAATATGGAGCGGCTAGTATTTTCAGTAGACCCAGACGCCTTACTTGATCTCGGCAATGCTACTTTAAACAAATCACAAAATCTGAAATCAATCTGGTTTAGACAGTAAGTGACAGATGGCAATGAACTCCGCAACAGTATTTTTTTTGTTTACACAGTCCTGCCTGTCTAAAGGTGTCCTTAGAAATATACTTTATAGTCGATTGGAAGAATGCACTATTCTGTATGAATAAATCAATCTGTGTTATTTTCATATCTATGCCCATGTCTAGCGTTAGACTTTTGTCACGTTATTTGTTGACGACCCTTGACTTTAAAACATTAATTATTGCTAATCTACAACCTAAGTTCGGAGCCTTTTATAAGTTCCAATAAACCACAGAGATGCCCATACACAGACAGCGTTAGTCAAGGTTATGATCATCATCACCGCTGTCAGCTGTAATAACCACGCACTTGTCGTACAGTGGTTGTAGCTGCCACAGTTTCGTTCACCGATGATTCGGGGAGCTGAGGTATGTAGCTGCGCATTGGAGGCGAAGTCTTATACATTAGTGCGTAAATACAGCACTGTGGGTGGAGCGTTAAGTGGATGGATTAAGAAACGAGCTATGCATTGAAGGCAATAGCTTGGATGCATGAGCGCCATTGAGGGGGCGACTTTGCCATATCTGACAATGCCCCTAATAATTGATACGTTCCGTCTCGTGGTCAAAAAGAGATGGCAATGACCAGCGAAGCTGAGTTTGCTGGTAATGGCTTTCACACTTCGCTACCAAGTCATTTTT